ACGGTTATCACAACCTCTCTGTCGAGAACTGTGCCATGTTGACCCTTAGCTGCAAAACAAGATGAGAATTAGAGGGTTTTTTCTGGAAGATATAGTATCACCCTACTCCAGCTCACAGTTTTAGTAGTAAAGGAGGGGTGAGTCGATATGGTTAGCATTATGGGTTGGACTGTATCCTTGAAGAAGACATGTTCATGTCCTAGTCTTGTTCCTGGGAATATGACCTGGTTTGGGGAACAAATTTTCCACTGCAGATGGTACCAGTTAATGGCATCATACTGGAGTAGGGTGGGTCCGAGCCTCTTTTACACACTCACACACACGCACGAGGGAGGGAAAGGCCTCATGTGAAGATGACATATGTCTAAGGAGCAAAGAGCCGCTGGCAGCCACCAGAAACTAGGAGAGAGCAATGAGACAGTTCCTCCTTCAAATCCCGCAGGACAAGGTGATGGGGAAGAGCCTGTTTTGGAAGGCTCAAAAAAAAATCCCTCAAACTCATTGATTTCAAATCTGAACCGACTAATGGCTGCCTCTGTAGTGAGTTTTCAGAGGCTGTAACCTGCATGAGAGGAGATTGTCCCACTTTGTCCTGGAGGAAGAGCTCCGGCTGGTGGAATCCAGCAGGCAGAGAGGTGCAGCCTCTGAGTTAGCGGCATGACTCCATGGACTGCGTCACCAGAGCTCCCCTTCGGACTGTTAGCCTTCGGCACTATGAGAAGTTACATTTCCGTTCTCTAAAGCTACCCATTTTGTGGCATTTCATTATAGCAGTTCTAGAACACAGAGCAGGAACACTTTACTGGGATTCCCCCAGCCCACCCCCACCCCCTGCATAGCCATGGCCCAGGAGTCATCACTTCGCTTTGAAGAACACCAGAGAACTTTGCTAACCTGGGAAGGGAACCCCAGGACACAGAGAAGCCCTCTATCTCAAGCATACACCAAGACTTATGCAAGTCACTGAGTCCCCTTCTCCCATCCCAGCATCTCCTAAATCTGGTTGCGTTTGGGTGACCTCCCCGGTATCATTATACATCCTACTGCATGCTGGGAGCAGGAGAATATGACTAGGAGAAGTGGGCTGGGCCATCTGTCTTTTGAGTTTGTTGACATTCTGCCTTTTGGCAAGGTGCTGGCCTGTGTGATTCCCAGAACAAAGGATTTAGGGGCACTTCTGAAGGACACTGGCTCAGTCACGTGTCCTGAGGCCAAAGCATATGTGGATCTAGTTCGTTTGCAGCATCAACGTGTAGAATGGAGGTCTAATATGCCCAGATCCTGGATATCAACTAAGGGAGAGGAAAATACAAAACAAGAAGAGGAAGCTGGAGCTGTAAGATGGTGACTGAGGTGTCCTCACTTCACTTCTAGAAAAGGAGAAAGAGCTGCATATGCTTTCACTGGCTGTTTCTGAAGCAGGAAGTCCAGGATGGATCTCAAAGTTTGTGTCATTATTTGGTTTCTTAAGTCTCACCCTTACCACCTTCTGGCAACTCCCCAAGCTCTCCCTCCAACCCACATCTCCCCTGGACTCTTCAGATTCACATGAACAGGTCTTCCGGGTATCCCATAGGCTGCCAACAACACGTTCTACTGTGGACCAGCATCTTTCCCTCCCTGGATTGTTACTCTGCCCCATATACAGTAGTGGTTTGTCTACATGACGTGTATTTCTCTTTACCCTGGCTAGAACTCTGTTGTTTCTTTGGGATTCATCCCTTCCCCTCTTCAACCTTATATAATCTATGTGGCTCCACCAATGTTTCATGCATCAAGTCTCTGGATGAATAAAAACACAGTGATTGGTTCAGGGGTGAGAATGTTACTGAAGTTGGTCCAATCAGCACAAATGTTGGAACTTCAGTTTAATACTTAGGTTGAGAACTTTGGTTGCTGAGATCCAGGCTGTTATTTTGTTTCAAGAGCAGAGAGGTGCATACAACTTACATTGTGGCCACAAGGTTGCAGCCAGCTTGTGACTTTAGGAGAAAAGTTGCCTCTAATGGAGTCAGCACAGAGCACCAGAGACTGAGGGAAAGTAGACTCTTGATGAATTTGAGCCTCTGGTGCCTGAGAATGAGCTATGTTCAGTCGTTGTGAACCATGCACTCTCCTTTTTTAAAAAGATGAGTTTGATCAGAAGCTTTCTGCTCCATCCATCTCACTAATGTTGTTATGTGCCATCAAGTCAGAACTGACTCGTAGCTAACTCTTCAGTGGGTTTTCAGAGGCTGCACAGAAGCTGGTAATTCAGACTAACGAGGCTTTGGGTTGGCAGCACAACTCTATACCTACTTCTTTTTGTTGTTGTTAGGTGCCATCAAGTCGAATATAGTGACCTTCCGAACAACAGATCTGAGCCCTGTCCTATGCTGTGCCATCCTCACAACTCCTGCCACACTCAAGCCTTTTGTTGTGGTTGCTTTCTCCCGGTTGAGGGTCTTCTCTAGGCAGGACTATGCATTCTGCCAATTAAGCCAGAAACCTGGGGCTCTGCTTTTTATTCTGTCTACATTTCAGCATGCTTCAGTTTGCAAGAACATTAAAACCCAAGAAGTACTGGCTGCCTCCAAGTCATATCCTGAACTCAGGATTGGGGTAGAACAGCACTGAAGTGCAGACAAAGTCACCAGACTGGGTAAACGCAGCCTGTGCCCAGGAAGGGTCAGGAATAGGTGCCAGTAAGCACCTGCTAGGGGCCTGGCTTAAAGCCAGGGGCTCTATATATGTTACCTTACTTCATCCACAAACATCCCTGAGAAGCGTCAGGTGAGCTGCACTCATTGTTAAGTTCCTTCCGCGTGCCACACACATACTTGTCAGGTACATACATCACTCACTCAATCCTCAGAGAAATTCACAGGTGGAAACTGAGGGCCAGAGAGGAGATGGGCTTGCTCAAGATGACCCAGGGCAAGTGTCTATTCCATCTTCACAGCCCTTACCCTTCACTACCTCATCCTGCTTCTTTGGAAAGACCAGTTCATAAATTATGTTGCACTGATATCATATATAGGGGAAGATCTCTAATTATGGAGCACAAAAACGTAGTAGTACACAACAGTTGGTTTCCATTGTCCTGGAACAACAGAGGAATAAAGAGAGTCGAGAATAAGAGTAGGCAATAGATGTGTGGTTAATTGACTTCTCTGTTAGGAGACAAGAAGAAATAGATGGTGCCCAGCTACCAGTACTGAACAGTTTGATCTAGGATTCTATAGGACAATTCTAAAGGGAGGAAAAGCATCTTTTCAAATTTTCATGAACTAGTAGCTAAATACTTAGCCATTTGTACCACCCAAGGAACCTTCTGTTATTTAAATAACTTCTTTGTATTGCTCTGAATATCCTTATGAAGACTTTTCTTGAGATGTTTGAATTCTCAGAATCTAGTATTGGCTCAAATGACATGTGTCGTTAGGTTGACTATGACCCATAGCAAGCCTATGAACAACACATTGGAATTTTGCCCCTCCTGTGCTGTCCTCACGCTCTCCAACACCCTCAAGCCCATTGCTGCAATAATGGTACCAATCCATCCCTTTGAGAATCTTCCTGTCTTTCACTGACTGTTTAATAAGTTCCAGCACAATGTCCTTCTCCAATGACTGGCACTTCTTGACAACATGCCCAAAGTATGTGGGATGAAGTTTCACAAGTATCTTAAAGAAACCATTCCTGAGGATCCAAGATGGTGGCAGAGGCAGAGACAGCGTGGTGAGCTGCGGGAGCAGCAGACCACTTGGAAAAGGGCCATTATGACCCTCCACAGACTTCTGTTTATTAATAATTGAACAGTTAAACAGTTGATGACTGGTCTTCAGTGAGGATTGAGGCTCAACAACAGGAATTCAAGAATTTCCAAGGAAGAATGGGTGAGTGCCGCAGCTCCCAACCCCCTCCCTCAGAGCCCGCACTGCACCTCACCACAGCCACAGCTCCATGAAGCTCCCACAGCCGGAACCTATGGAATCCCTCGCCCAGGATGGAGGGTGGGCACCAGGCCTCCCCAGGACTGGTGCAGTGGAGCCGCCACACTGCAGCAAAGTGTACTTGTTCCGAGGAGAATTCTTGGAGCCAAAATGGCAGCAGTAGGGGAAGAGGGCGGACACTGGCCTCCCACGCAGCGCAACCGCCAGCAGCCCGTGTGGGAGATGACGTGCGGGAGATGGCTTGCACTAGCTGGCCACCCACATGGAAGATGGCACTCGCCCAGCGGCCGCCTGTGTGGAGGATGGTGTGCGCCCGCCGGCTTCCCGCACATGGGATGGCACGTGCCTGCCAGCCACCCGTGTGGGAGATGACACTCAGGAGGTGGCTCGCACCCGCCAGCTACCCACGTGGAAGATGGCACGCGCCCGGCGGCTGCCTGCACGAGAGATGGCGTGTGCCCACCAGCCGCCCACACGCGAGATGGCACGAGCCCGCTGGTTGCCCGCAATGGGGAATGGCACGCACCCGCCAGTCGCCCATGTGGGAGATGGCACACGCCTGTTGGCCAACCCGCACTGAGGGATGGTGCACACCCACTGGCTGCCTGCGCACGAGATGGTGCACGAACTCCGAGAGGTGAAGTATGCCTGCCGGCTGGCTGCGCAAAAAGATGGCGCACACCCACCCCCACCTGCCCACCCCCATGTGCTGCCTGTGCACGAGATGACACCCGCCTGCCAAGAGATGACACGCGCCCGCCAGTCATCCGTATGGGAGATGATACTTGGGAGATGGCTCGTGCCCACCAGCCACCTGTGCAGAAGATGGCACGTGCCTGGCAGCCGCCCACATAAAAAAATGACACACGCCCACCAGTCGCCTGTGTGGGGGATGGTGTGCGCCTGCTGGCCCACTGACTGCCTGCACACGAGATGACGCACACCTGCCGAGAGATGATGCAAGCCCTCTGGTCACCCGCGTGCGAGATGATGTGTGCCCACCAGCTGCCCGCACTGGGGGATGACATGCACCTACCCTCACCGGCTGCCCATGCATGAGATGACATGCACCCGCCGAGAGAAAATGCGCGCTCACGGGTTGTCTGCGCACGAGATGATACGTGCCCGCCGGCTGCCCGTGTGGAAGATGACACGCGGGAGATGGCGAGCGCCTGCCAGTCACCTGTGCTGGGGGATGGTGTGCGCCCACCAAACGCCCGCACAGAAGAGAAGACGCGTGCCCCGCCACCTTCAGGTTTGGGTTTCCTTGGAAAACCAGAGAAGATGATCACCTATACAGTGGATTGTTGAAAGTCACTGTGAGTTGTCTATTTGATGACACAGTGGCAGCATGTCCAAGAGGACCAACATCCTAAGTGCACCACATCTTTTGATCTGTTGAATGCTTCTGCCAAAAGATGTTTAGACCTGGGGGAAGCATGTTCACAATTTTCAGGTTCCCTTTGCCATTTATAAAGGAGGAGGGAAGTGACACCTACTTCAAATTATAGTATGACCACTTGGGGGGGGCGGGGGGTAAAAGTGGTGGTGCTGGAATTGGAGATGCTGTCCCTGGCCACACACTCCTTGGTCAGGTGAGGGGACCAGATTAGTGTGGGGGCAAGTAGAGGGGAGTGTACCAGCCAGCCCATGGGGGGTGTTGCCCTGCTCAGGACGGGTTGTCTTCAGCCCTCAGCTCGGGGTGAGCCGTCATGGCCCTCTGCCCGGGGAGGGCTGTCCTCGGCTCTCTGCCTGGGGTGGGCTGTCCTCGGCCCTTGGCTCAGGGTGAGCCGTCATGGCCCTCAGGGTGAGCTCCTCAGTCCCCAGATTGTACCATCTGACCCCTGGGTAGAAAAACAAAGTGCCTAGGGTATCCAGAGAATTTTATCTAGGCCACTTTCTGCCACCCTCTTCCCCAGTAAACCTGAAAGCAACACCCCCAAAACCCCTCTACTTGTAACTCACAAGTTTGTTCTCTCTAGGTTTGCTCCCTTTCCTACAGGTAACTTTACCACTGAGTTTTACTTCAGACCTGACCCCGAACCCAGTGCCAGTGACAAAAAGGAAATACAACTGCCAGCTAAAGAAGCAAAGGAGGATGGAGCCCCTTGGTTCAACCAGCCATCCCCACTGGACCCACCTGGAAAAACACTTTGCAGTCCAGAGGGGAGCAAATGACAGGAAAATATCTTCTAACAGAACAAGAAGGCAAGTAGCCTTAACCCAAGATCACCAGCAAGGTGATAAAGTGTCCTTCCTTTCCCCCTTCACATCAACGCCCCTGTTCAGCATGAAGAAGCCAGAGAGTCGGCATCCAGTTCCCAAATCAGTAAGACAGTTGATTTAACTACCATTGGAAAATGCTTGTTATTTTCCTGTAGCATCTGGTCCCCACTGGATCACTTTCATTTCCTTCACCTGCTCCCCCCACCAACCAATTTCTGCAGCTCTGCAACTGCATTCCTGCCCATCCTCACCCTTCTGCCCCAACCCTCACCTCCTTGTACCCCCAATTTTTTTTCCCAATAAAAATTTTTTAAAAAAAAGAAACTATTCCTCCCCTCCCCCTAGAATTATTCTCAGTTCTTTCATTCCCTCCCCTCATCCAATAATGAAAACATTAACTGGGCTCTTCTTCTGTGCCAGGTTCTGCTCAGAGTTATTGTTCCAGAGATAATTAAAGCACAGAGTCTGTCTTAGTCAAGCAGGCCTGCCTAAGTGGGTTCAGAAAGACCATCATGGGGCTATTTTCAAGGGTGTGTGTGCACCATTCCCTTCTGCTTGGGAAGTTGGGAGTCACAGGGGCTGTCATTTGAGTTGTCTCATGAAAGATGCGTTGAAGATATTCACAAAGAGAATTAAGGAAGCAGTTTCAAGCAAGAAAACAGGCTGTACTGTTAAGAGAGAATTATTCTCCACAAAGAGGCTGAAGGAAAGTGTGTTCCTCCCTCTTGTAAGTATGAAGCTCTGGTGAGATAGTCCATAGGAAGCTGAGCTGCTATCACAAAGGCCACAGCTCCGTGGTAGTTCAAATTGACTGTAAGATCTTGGGGAGAAAGATGGACAATTTCATCCCTTGTAAAACAGTCTCAGAAACCCAATGAGTGCTCAAGAAGAGTTAGTTCTTACTCTATGGCATTGACTTTGGTTGGAAAATCTCATTCTCAGCTTATCGAGCTCTGGTGGTGTCATCCATAGGGAGTTGTGTTGTTAACCCAGAAGCTGTGTCTTTCTGGCAGTTCAAATCCAACAGCAGCTCTGAGGGAGAAAGACAGAGTCTCCCTCCTCTTGTGCCATTTCCATCCTGAGACACCCAGCAGAGATGGTCAGCCATAAGTCCATTTCAACTTGATGCTTATGAGTTTTCTTGCAAAATATTTTCTAATTCTAAGCCAGTTGAAAATAAACTGAGTAAGCTTCTCATAATTAGAACACCTCAAGAAAATCCATCAATTAGACTATATAACAAGGTCTCCTCATGATAAAAAGTATAGGCTTAAAAATTATAAACCTAATGGAGGGTTGCTATGAGTTAGAGCTGATTCCACCACAGTGGGAAAATAACACAATTAACAATTGCTTAAACAACAGGACCATGAGTAGCCTTGTAGGCTAAGCGATGAACAGTAAACACAAAAGTTAAGAGTTTGAACCCACTAGCTTCTCCTTTCATTAAGACTTTGCTGTTGTTGTTGAGGGTGGCCATGGTCAGAACCATTTAGTGGCGATGGGTTTGGTGTTTTGTTTTTTTAAAAAGAGGTTCTTAAAAAAAATAAAAAAAAAAGAGGTTCTTAGTGTCATAAGCAGTAAAGATCTAAGCTTTACTTTTAGGGTTTGGTGGTTCAGAACCATGTACAGGCATGTGATGTGAGGAAAATCATGCACTTGGTGGTGGACAGCCTGTGGTGGAGGCTTGGAGGATTAGGGGAGAGTAGAGGATGGGTGAGAGGGGGCTTGCTTTGCTTCAAAGCCCTGTTGGAGAGGAACCACCTTCTGACACCCCTGATCAAGAAGAAACAACTGCTTTGCAATCCAACACCTAATATATTCACTTCCTCTGCTGTCCTCAAGTATCTCAGCTTCTTCCTTGAATGAGATGCCTCCTGTTTTCACTTAATTTCCAGAGGAAATAGCAAAGAGAACCATCTGTCTAAATTCTACCAAACTCACACCAGATTTCCCAGGTCAGGACTGGGGCTCTGTGAGGCAAGGTCTTTGTTTGTGGGATCAGAGGTGATGGCCCGAGAGTTGGTGGACTCGCTGAGCCCCTCATGGCAGTGGGCCCCTGGGCCTGGCCCATCTGTCCAATACAGATGTGCTGCCAGAACTGTGCTGGGAGCACCGTCAGTGACCGAGGTGGTCTCTGGAGAGGCCAGCGCCGGACTCGTTCCCACGGGCTCCTGCCCAACACTCGCTCGTTCCTGAGTTTTATATTCCTGGGAGAGGAGGCTGTGGAGAAAACGCTCCAACTCCCACACCAGCTGCTGGGGAAAGCAGCATCAGCTTTCCTCACGTGGCATGGGGCTGCTCCCAGCCTGCAGGAACCAGTGTTTTCTTCACAGCAGTATGATAATGACATTTACTTGGGGAACACTTTCTCTGTTGCCATCAACAACACAAACTTCCTTGCAGAAAGTGAAGGCTTGTAGCACCTCCCAAAGAAATAAAAGACTACAGCTTGCAATATGAGCTACATCTTCTTATATCAAGAATACAAAAATCCTCACCACCGGACCAATAGGCAACATCATGATGGATGGATTAAAGATTAATACTGTTGCACAGTTCAAATCCACCAGATGCTCTGCTGGAGAAGGAAGAACAGTCTCCTCCTGTACCAGTTAGATCTGATTTGATGGTACGTACGTACACACACACACACACACACACACACACACACACTAAATTTTTTTAAAAATTTTAAAAAACCTCTGTAAACAATTTCATTTTACATGGTTCCACAATCAATACCCACATTAGCAACAGTCAAGAAGTTAAAAGACCTGTTGCACTGAGAGAAGTCCGCTCTCAGGAATCTCTTTAAAATGCCAAAGAGCAGGGATGTCAGTTTAAAGATGAAGATGAGCCTGGTCCAATTCCTGGTCTTTTCAACTGCTTCCGATGCATCTGAAAGTTAGACAGTGGATAAGGACGACCAAAGAATTGGTGCCTTTGATTTGCAGTGTTAAAGGAGAGTCTTGACTATCCCATGGACTGCCAAAAGAATGATCAACTCTATCTTGGAGGAAGTACGACAAGGGTGCTCAGGGAAACTTCATTTTACACCCTTTGGATGTTTTGTCAGGAGGGGCCAGTCCTTAGAAAAAGGTATCATGTCAGAAAAAGAGAGAAAGACTTTCAGTGTTATGGATGGACACAGAGACTACAATGGGCTTGAGCATATCAGAGATGGTGGGAAAAGTGCAGGATTGGACAAGGTTCAGATCCGTGGTGCAAAGTGTCACCGTGAGTCATCATCATCTTGATGGCACCTAACAACAACCACACTGTCAAGAGGGCAGCTTGGTCCAGGGAAAGAGCAGAGGCGACCTTCTGAGGCGCTGGGTTCCAGTCCTGGGGAGAGTTGCTCCCTGTCTCTGAGACTAACAGTGAAATAAAGTGGGCTGGTCTGGGTGATGCCGGAGGTGGTGCTTGGACAAGGAGTGGCCTCCAGTCAGGCTGATGAGTTTTGAGTCCTATCTGCCACTGGTGCTTGGCCCTCACGGGCCTTGGTTTCCTCATCTGTGTGTTGATAACACAAAACTGGGTCATCGTTAAGGTCCCCGTGGGTTTAGTGATGAGTGGAGCGCACACACACCCCCCAGAGACGCCGAGGAGATTTCTTTTCAGTCTTTTCTCTCTGACAAAATATTTCTGTTCCTAAGTGTGTTGGAAAGAAACTGTGTCAGCACAAAAAGAACTGGCTTCCTCACCCTGCCCCACCCTGGCTCCACAGACGAGCAGAATCTTTTCTTTCTGAAACTCAAATTGCATGACTCCTTGGAGGGTCCTCTGAGACCCTGGGTGGTCCAGCTTTACCTTCCCACTCACTCTGAGTCCTTCACCTTAAACAGCACATGTCCAAACATCCCCAAACTCTCATGAAAAGGCAGTGCCCAGGGGTGACTGGGGCTGGGATGAGGGGCTGACCCCTCCACTGTATTCCTCTGCTTCCTCAAAGCTACTGCAAAAATCCCATCTAGGTAAAAGTAGGGTGTGTTGGTACAAGACACCATCGAGTCTCCCCTTCCACCA